CAAAAAGGCTTCAGGCACATTCAGGCACGAAGGGCTACCGGGCTTCCGCGTGATGATGCCATGGTGGAGACAGGGAGATCCATAAGGCACCTGGTCACTGAATCTGGGCTTTCTGCTGATTCAGCGGCAGCGCACGTGCAAGTGGAGAAGTCTTTGGCTTGCAGGATACATCCTCTTGCGGATGGTGATCTTCGTGGAGTAACTCCAGGGCAGCACACGGTGCTTGAGGCACCGAGTCGACGTGCAAGATGGCTTGTAAGCTGAATGTCAAGCCCCGGCTCTCTAGGCAGCTTCTGGCTCTTTGCTGCAAGCTCTGTGGCTCAGAGATTCCTTCTTCGCATTGCGGTGTGGACGCGTGCAGACTTCCAGGCTCTGAGACTCTGCAAAGCCTTTCGGGATACCTGAAGCACAGTTTCGCTTCTCTTGAGCACTCTGGCTAATTGCGATTGGATGTTCCACAGGCTCGACCCTTATTGTAGCTGAGTGTACCATGGTATTTGAGGCCGGAGGCATACCGAGCAAGCCGGCAACAGGGGGCTAACAATCCATGACAAGACGAAACGTTCCGATGCACTGGCAAGATGCGAGGAACTTGTCACTGTCGACCGTTCCTGCCTAGTCTTTCTTGTCACCAGTTAGTTGAGAGGCCTTTGAGACATCTTTAGCCTCGTGAGTGTTGGGATTCCAGGATCTCCCCGCGAAGCTTGCAAGCATTCCTGGTTGAGCAAAGCAAAACAAAGAACCGTCTTTAGGAATTGAGTTGGCGTCGCTGAGGTCGCAAGATTGGCACACATCGTTTGTTCTTCTTGACGTTCCTGGTTATGGATTCTATGCGCAAATGCAAGAGTTGACACGGAGATGAGTGTCCATGGCGAGGCGATGTTTTTGCTGTCGTTGGTGACTGCTTGTTTGTGTACCGCTTCATGTTAAAATGCTTAACTCTGGGTTTCCATCCTTGATCGGTTTATTCTCCAGAGTGCGGCTCATGCCGGAAACATCATGGACTCAAACCGTCGCTGCGAAACCAAGCAGCACTCCGCATTTTTCCTTGGACATATCTGGCTGAGCAGGTACAACAGCAGCGCTGGCCCCTACTATGTCCAAAAAGTGGTTCAGGCAGGATGCCTGCCGTGATCTGCCCTGCCAACATGTGTTTCGCAAGTGCAGCAGGATCTTGGGCGCCTGCTGACGTCAACTGTCATGCTTGTGGCCGTGGGTGGCTTGGAAATTCTGTCGGTGCGTTTGCCGGTAGGGAACAAGCAAGATGTGCTGCACCGGCGAGGTTGTACCACGCTTCGATCCTGGCGAGGAGTTCCATTTCTGTGTGCACGCAGAACCGGCAGCCAATGACATGCTGCCAGGAGTAGCATCGTGGGAGAGACGATGTAACATGCAGCATAATCTTCAGAAGATTAGCTTGGTTTCTATTTCTCGGTGAGATACTGCGCAACTTC